TAAAAGGAAAACACCAACGCCCAAATCAAAATCAATCGGAAAATTGCATTTTACCAAACGAGACGAAAAATCAGGGCTGCCAAGCCCGCTACAAATATGTCAAGTGTAATATGACCACACATCAATAGAGAAAACGATAGAATTCCTATAACATTATTTCTCTCGCTGGCCTATTTGATTCCGCCAATTAATGTCTCTAGTTTTCCGTGTTTCCGTTTTCAGGACCCTTAACAAATAACGCAATTTCCAGAGCTGGATAAAAAAAAACTCCTAGTAATTTTTGTTCCTTGAAAAATATCGCCTCATGATACATTATACTGTGGGCTAAATTATTTGTTTTTCTTCTCTAGACTTGATGTATTTAGCTTGTAAGTGATGATATTCTAGATTTTTAAAATCAATATCCCCATTGCCTTATCACTATTCTCTGTGAATGATATTTGTGCACTGAGAAAACCCGGCATAGAATAATTAGTGTAATGAGAACTTAAGGTTTGCGTTCCTCTCGAGATGCAAGTTCAATGTCTCTCGTCGATCGGAATAGTAAAACAAATTTAAACCATTCGGATATCACTGCTAAAACGCTCCATCAGCAAAGGCAATGGATCACACTCGGAGCATTTTTATGTTTGGTTTGTGTTCGGTTTATTGCGAATTATTTCTGCATGGCTTCACCATTTTATAATGAGATTCTTTACTAAAACCTGTGTTGAGTAGACATACTCACAGAAACAAAGTACACACACACACACACACACATACACACACACCCGCACACACACACACACACACACACACACACACACACACACACACACACACACACACACCCGCACACACGCGCACACACACACCACTCCTACACATCCCCGCCCCCACACGTAGACAAACACACATTTCGGCAAATTCTTGGTGATTCCTACTTACGGCATTAAAAAAAAATCTTTCACTTTTGTGCAGTATCACTGTCATTGTTCTGTTCGCTAACGCACGTTAGAAACCTGTTTCAACTTGGCTGGGTTTCGTTTTCAGTAACGCAAATCACCCATACCACTTATGTCTGTTTTGCTTCTCTGTTGTGTGGGATCCTTCACAATTATATTATTTCTTTGGCTTGTCTGATTCTGTTTTCAAAGTCATCAATGATTGCATGATCTTTATTAGGGGTGTCTTGGAGTTTGCGAAAGCATCTCATCTCTAGGGCACTTATCCCCTCCTCAACGTCTGCTATTAGGATACAAGACTTGCAGGCATTCAGAGATATCGAGGTAACAAAAGAGCGCATTAGTGTGATCTTTGGGCTGGGTGCGATGTCTCTATCTAGCCATAATAATAATGTAGTTCTCAGCTTCTGTGTAGCTGTTGCCTGGTGTGTGATCTTGGCACGTTTTTGGGGCATCGAGCTTTTAACAGCTACTACGATTTCCAGTTTGTATTAGATGTTTACAGTTCGCTTACTGTTAGTGGAAAAGGCTTAAGCTTGAAAAGAAAAATCACAAACGATCTTTTTGTTGAAAGTATGACTGGATACTATACGCGGAGGCTATTTTCAGAACGCTTGGACCACCAATATTTTATTAAGTTAAAATACTCGAGGGGGGGGGGGGGGGTGCTTGTGTAAGATTCACACGAAACCCCAATGTACTAGTTTGTTCATGATCAGAACAAATAAGCCGCTGGTAATATAAAATAATTCCAAACGACGACTTTTGGACTTGACATAGTATGCACACCCGCGACATAAAATTCCGAGAAACCAATACGAACTAACACCACAGAACTTGCCCATTTTCTCTCAACCTTTAGAATGGAAATGGAAACGTTTTGAATGTTTTGCAGGGAATGTTTTTCTTTAAGTTATGACATCGGATGAAAAGATGCTGGGACAACATAGCGAGTGGTTTCTTCAATGCCCTCAAACAGACGGTAAAAGTCTAGTTGTGCCTACCAGTCGGAACTTACTTCACGATCCACGCAAACCCGGAGTCCCCACTGGGTGTGGGGGCGATAAGTAGGTCACCATAAGGCCATGTGCTAAAGACACTATACATTTATTTTAACACCGTGGGGTTCAAGTAGACGTTTACCAATCAGCCTCTGTTGAAAACACTGGTGCAATAATTTTCTAGTTGTTAACAGTTGAGTGGAGTTGTGAGCATAGCGCTTGTTTCATGACATTCAACACGTTGTTTTTTAAATTTAGAATATGAAAACTCTGATGGCATAAACCTCCGCACAAATGAAACCTCGTTTTGTAAAGCAAGTGTTTACAATTTGGTTTTCACAAGACTATAGCCGTCAAAGCATCTATTTCATCCGAAAGCTTATACTGCCCTAGATTCATTCAGGAGACATGCAATATTACGGCCTTTTAGACTTTTACCAATCTCATTCCATTCTTGTTCTTTACCGAATGAGCCTCTACCATTTTAAGATAAGATGAGATTCCTCATTTTTCCTTAGCGAGAATTTCCTTCTGTCAATTTATGTTTTTCATTGTTATACATACATTTATAGACATACACAGACACACACATACACACACACAAACACACACACACACATACACATATATGTATATATATATGTCATTATCTGAAAAAAGGACAATATCCTTTCCAATAGAACAAAGTGGAACTAAATCTCTATATTTTGTGACTGGGTTTGACGCCAGTAAATCTTGACTTGAAAGCGCTTGAATTCTGCGCAATGGGCCTTAACGTTCCCTTTCCTAAAAATATAAAATCAAAGAGCTTTAGGCAACGATTTCCAAAGTTTACGCTTCGACTGAGACATTGAAATTTGTCGACAGAAGTTTTCTGTATGTTTATATCCCTAAGTGGTCGACCCAGTCTCATTTTTTTTGGGGCGGGACTCAAAAAACTAAAACGTCAAGTTCTATCCGACAGCAACACCAATGTTTACAATCTCATCAAAATAGTCGATAGCAATTATTCGAAATGGACCACAAACCACGTCCATCCACTCCCTTTCTCTCTTTCGCACCACTCCAATAACCGTATCCCTTCCTAACCGATCCAATAATGTTGAGTCTAACCCCCCTCCCCACCCCCACCTTACACGCAACCCTTTCTTTTTCTTTGTTCACTCCAATCCACCCAACAAAACCAGTCAAGTCGATATAATAGAATGGAATCGATCAGGCCCTCGGTACTGGCTCGTGCCATCTGGCCAGTTGCTTCATGCCGGCGTTTATGCTGTCACGACGTCCTATAGCCGCGTGGGGGGGATCATCTCTCCCGCCGTGCGACTGGCTGGGGAACTCAACGGACGCACCAGAATTTGGCGGGTTCTTGGGTCCTTGTCGTCCGCTAATCGCCTTACAGTATTAGAGGCCATAGTTCTCTCATCTCGACCTGCGAATCCGATTACTAGAGTCGAGAATGATGCTGGTGGCAGTCACTCAGAGATGATGCAGGAAAAGAGAAATAGAGTGGAAGGAAAGGAATGCCAAGAAAAATAAAAATAAATGACAAGGAGCCCGACGACGAATAAAGAAATTGACCAATAAAGAGATAAAAAAAATCTGGAACAGGTTACAATTACAAGGGTTGTAAATGGACTCGGCGGTCTCTTTACTGCTAAGTAAACAAGTAAACAAAAAAGGTTTAGAAAGAACCACCCACTTCCCAGCATCATGCCGAACCACAGAGAAAGAAAGCGAAAGCAAAGAGTTAAAAAATCTCGATATACCTGGAGAGTCAGAAAGCACCTGGGCGGGAACCACGCTTCCCTGGACTTGCTAAGAACCGGTACATACACTTTTGTGTTTTCTGTGTTAGGTCACCCCCCCCCCCCCACCATTCCTTTCTAAATGTCGATGTTTTTTACGCCAACATTGGTACAATTCAGACCATTTTAGGAGGAAACTGTGGTCTTGTGTGCAACGACCAACACGTGCTGAGAGATAACGATACAATGTCCCAACAGAAAGACCGAGATATTCGGTAACCGCTACACTACAGTCGCCGCTGTCCATTCCCTGATGATAACTCTATGTTTTAACTTGCTTCCATTGCGCCCCCCCCCCGCCTTACTTTGACGATATTTGCCCAGATCCAGTCTCTGATGCCCTGAAAAACATCTTTATCGCCTTTTTAACGCCATCTGTTTGTTGGGACGTTATATCTCCCACAGCACGGGTTGCCCTGGACGGGCAGAATGAAGCAGCCAGCATCTTAAATGATCTGAATAGTGTCGACAAGAGCGGGACAAATCTGAAATCTCATTACATTACGCATGCCCTAGTTTTTTCTTCTACGTCTTCCCATTGCCTTTTCTTTATCACCTCTAATGTATACGTAATCTCTCAGTTGTTCTTTTTGTTTCAATTCACAGAGCCCCCACCTGTCTGAGCCAGGGGTAAAGGATATTCCTATAACATGTGTAGACCACACACCAGAAATTCGGACATCTGATTCACTCTTTGTGACTTCTTGGACACTAATGTGTGCAAGGTCCCGGGAGATGCAGCACTCCACAAAGGAAAAACTTTGTAATAAATTTAAGCAACCGTACGGATTCAAATTAATATTTACCAATACTTAAAAATTAGAAAAAAGAATAGTATATTTTACACCGATTGTTTCTACGAAACTGAGAATTTCGAATATTATTCTACTCAATAGAGCATTTGTACTTAAGATAGATCTAGAAATCCAAGATAATATCTAGTAAAAACAAAAACAAAACAAAACAAAACAAACAAAAACAAAACAAACAATAATGAACAGCAAGTTTTGTTTTTTATCGACGAGTTTCTAAGTCTGAAAAACAATTTCTCCAGACTTGATGAACATAATATACAGATGATGGGAGAAATTGCTGCATAGCATTAGGCGTGTTCTGTTATTATTAGGAAAGACACGATTGTTTCTATTGTCCTGTTGCTGACGTCTGAAATCTGACTCAATCATTATTGTCAGAAGGTTCCAATCTACGCCATGTGCCGAGATGTCAAATGATACAGCACACGCACCATGGGGAAGCTTAGCATTTTCAAGATTGTCTTCAGCCGGAACAAGGAGAAATATCAACCCGGTGATGTCGTGGAAGGACATGTTGCAATAGAGATCAAAGATGGCATCAAGGTTAAAGGTGAGTTCCGATAAATGTAAATCATTGGGAGCTTCCCAGTAGCGACTGGTCGTGTTCACTTCCTACGTGTGAGTGCATGTTTGTGTGTGTGTGTGTGTGTGTGTGTGTGTGTTTGTGTGTGTGTGAGTGTGTGTGTGTGTGTGTGTGTGTGTGTGTGTGTGTGTGTGTGTGAGTGTGTGTGTGGGTGTGTACAAGGTGAAACACCAAACCAATGAGCCAGGATCTGGACAATAAAGATGTATTCTATCTTATTATTAAGACCGGTCTCAAGTAGGGAGTGGTTCCTAGAAAAAACCAAACACAGTTGGGTAGAACTAAGTAAGGGTCATGAGTGGTTGGCGGGTGCTCTGGTGTGGTTTGCTCCTTTTTTGTATCAAGCACCTTGTGTCCTTACCTCCTTTCCTCCTTCTTTTCTTAGTATGTAACTTTTTAGAAACACCTCTAGCCGTCGGCACTTATAAGACCTAATTGTGTGGTAGGTGCCGTAAAGCATTTACTTAAACTAAAAGTAAGTAGAACTTTATAGTCTAGAGGTTAGCTCAGTGTGAATTATACTTCACTATGGTGTAAATGTTCCTGGTTCAGCCGAGGTGTTCTTGAACCTGGGTTGCTTTCCTTTTGGAAGTTCATCTCTCCATCTCCAGTCCTAAGGGATATGATAGATGAATTAGAAAATGCCTTTTCCATATTTAAAAAAAAGGAAAGGGGAGGGGGGAGGGGGGTACATCTCTATTACTTAGTCACTTACCTAGTCTAGAGGTAAGGTGTCTACCTCTCATGGCTTCTCGCCATTTGGGCTAAGATCAAAGTGTAGTATTTTTCTCGATGTTTCGCCTTGTGCTGAGTCCAAAGCGGGACGGATGCAACCTGCAGCTGAAGCCTTGGCTTCTGTCATATCTAGTGGATGGCAACGTCCTCTAAATAAAGGGCGCTCACCTTCAAGATGGGTGTCAAAGTTCAATCAGATATTGCCCGTGGATAATAATAATTATAATAATAATAAATTGCATTTATATAGCGCATTTCCAGAAAGAAGTGCTCAATGCGCTGTACAATAATACAAAAGAACATACTTTTATGAAGCGCACAGCTCCTATAGTAATCCTCTTTCTCTCTCTCTCTCTCACTCTGTCTCTGTCTTACTCTGTGTCTCTCTGACGCTCTGTCTCTCTGTCTCTCTGTCTCTGTTTGTCTGTCTGTCTGTCTGTCTGTCTGTCTGTCTGTCTGTCTCTTTCTCTCTCTCTCTCTCTCTCTCTCTCTCTCTCTCTCTCTCTCTCCAGTACATCCTTGAGTAAAAACAATCCCACAAAGCTTACCCATACACCCTCGCACACATTGATGAATTTACAGTCATAAATCCTTACAGAACAGAACAGCATGAATAAACGATAATGAGAGAACATAATAGATACTGAGGGAACATAATAATATTTGTATTACAGATTGGAGCTGGACTGAAACAAATGCGTTTTAAGTGCCGATTTAAATTTTGATAAAGTTGTAGACTCCAGTAGATGAGCTAGTAAAGCGTTCCACAGGGAGGGGGTGCGGTGTGAACAAAGGTCTCCCTCCGAGTCTCTGACTTTTGCTTTGGACAGGTCTTAAAAGTCTTTTCGTCGCCTATCTTAAAGGCTGAGATGGTATATATTCGATGACCATGTCACAAAGATATGATTGTGCAATGTTGTTGACGCACTTAAAACAAAGAACAATTATTTTGTACAGAATTCGTGTTTTCAACGGGAGCCAATGTAATTGAATTAGCATTAGTGTTATATGCTCTTTGCGAGATTTCTTTAAAATTATGAGAGCAGCTTGGTTCTGGAGTCGCTGTAACCTATTTAACGTTTCAGTGGGAAGGTTTCCAAACAAAGAATTGCAGTAGTCTAGACGTGAAAGGACAAAAGAAGAGATGAGGGTTTTGATGGAATCAACACTAAGATATGTTGACATTTGTCCTATTCTGCGTAGTTCTAAATAAATTACATTACATAGATGGTTTTTATGATGGTGCATAGAGAGTTTGGAGTCAAAATAAACACCTAGATTCTTCAGTTTATCTGTGAAAAAGATGTTATCATTCCCAATACATATATGGTCAAAATTGCAAAGCAATATCCCTGGTTTGGAATTGCAAAACAAAACTTTGGTCTTATCATTCATTTTAAGTCTGTTTGATATCATCCAGTTTTTACCCCCACAATACATTTTTTCCATGCTGGTACCTAGACAATTGAAATTTGTTGGTAAAACAGACTTGCACAGTGTCGTCCGCGTACATGTGGTAGTGTACGTCGTGCTTCCTAATTATTGAACCAAAGGGCTTTGTATATAGTGTGTATAAGATAGGTCTGAGCACGGACCCTTGGGGCACGCCAAATTGCAAGCTGAAAATGGATGACATTTCCCCATTTACAAGTACATACTGTGTATAATTAAACAAAAAGGACTCAAATCATTCAAAAACAGTCCCAGATAGGCCGAATCTATGGCCTAACCTCCTGATCAAAATTGAATGATCAATGGTATCAAATGCGACAGGAACACCATACTCAATGGTATCAAATGCAGCACTTGTGTTTTTCCTTAGCTCTCTCTGCCCCCCCCTCTCTCTCTCTCTCTATCTCTTTCTCTCATTCTCTTTCTCTCACGCTTAATTACCAGACTAAGGGTTCGATTACTTCCGATAATGGGATAAGGATGAATACTTGGCAGATCTCGTTAGTACACATAGTTGTTAAAAGCCCCTTGATAAGACCTCTGGAAGTGGGTCTGCCTAGGCCGGTTGTATGAACAAAATTAAAAAAGATTTAAAATTGGTTAACAAGACAAGGTGCACTCATTTTCTAGTTGTGTGATATCTTTACCACACACACACACACACAGACACTCACAAACGTACACATTCGTACACGCACACCCATATACACACATATACACAAACACACACACACACTCAGTAACTCACATATACGTACACAGACACACATACACATACTCACACATACACACAAACACACACACACACACACACACACATACACACACATACACACACATATATACGTTTAAAAATACTTTGCATAAAAAAGAAAAGAGAGTCAGGTACAAAATATTTCTTCCGTATTCTATAAAACAACATTTATTCTGGTTATTTTTTTCAAACCGCTTCCCCAGGTATCTATCTTGAATGTGTGGGCGAGGCCTCCGTGGGCTGGAGCGAAAGTCAACCCACCTCGTCTGATAAAAACAGACGGAACCACATACGTTATTACAAAGCGAACGAAACGTACTTCCGATATGAGCGGGAACTCATGAAGAGAGGTAAGAAAGAATCTTGTCGTCGTCATAGCGTAGTGCAGCGGGATTCGATCTCTCGCTGTGAAAGGATTATATTCGAGGTTCGGATTCTCGTTAGTCGCACGAAATGCTAGATGTAACGTTCCATTCTACACATTAACCCACTGTTCACTCGAAACACAAAATTGCACGAACACACATAAATGCACACGCATACACACACACATGCTCAACATTTCGGTTATACAGAAATATTATGTTAACACTTTCGCCTTCGCCTCTGCACATACATAGACTCGTTATACCTTGCGTGCAAATGAACTTTTATATTTTTCCATGATTTACTACAATTTTGGTCTGGAATAAAACATAGGAGAAAAAATTCAGAAAATCCCCCCCTACCCC